AGATAGATTATGACTGAGTTGAAGGGTTTGAGAGAGAGATAGATTATGACTGAGTTGAAGGGTTTGAGAGATAGATAGATAGATTATGACTGAGTTGAAGGGTTTAAGAGAGATATAGATTATAACTGAGTTTAAAGGGTTTGAGAGAGAGATAAAAGGGTTTGAGAGAGAAATAAACATAATAATTTGTTATTAGGACATGTGTCACCAAATTCCAATAGACGTGTCCAACTTGGTGGTTATCAATCACCTCCCAAATGCCCATCACCGATTCACAAATAAAGCTCTAACAGTTTTTCCCTGCAAAGTTTAATGTGCTATTGGGCTCTCGAACAACTATAGCTCATCAAGTTTGCAAGCTGTCCACATACCAAATTTAAGCTTTCCCTCTTCTTTTCTCTCTACCTTCTGCATTCCCTTATTTTCTCTATTTATGGAACGTCAAGCAACAAAAGGTAAATCTCATATCTATCTATTCTATATGTAAGAAAAGCCCAAAATTCTTGCTTCTTAACTTTTGTTTCTTTGGCAGTAAGAAAAGTAGTGCGACGATGGATGTGCGGCAGATTATGGGTGCCATTCTTACTTTTTCCATGTTTCTGATGCTTGCCAACATGATCAAAAGGGATCACTTTGATGCTGATGTTTTCGTAAGTATTTCTAACAATCATATCTTCCACTAAATTCTTCATAATATCCTTAACTTCAACAATTTTCACTAAATATTTTATCTTTACTTTCGTAAAATCCTTTAACTCAAAATTAATGATGTAATTGTAATGATTACAAGAACATAAATATAGGATCTACATTTTTTGTTGAAATATATTACTGAAAGATTAAGAAGAATATTTTTTTAAAATTAAAACCGATTATTTTATCTATTTCGTTATTTGGGCACGATTCAGTTATATAATTATATGCTATATATGTTTCCATCAAATTTTATTTGTTTCTACTTTTTTTTAGATCGAAACTAATTATTTTATTTGTTTGTAGGATCCTGTATTTTTTATTACTTTAATAAATTGTTTGTTGTCTTTGAATAAAAAATTGCAGATTGATGTCCCAATAATGACATCAAATGTGGAACAAGATGTCTTCAAAATTACCAAGCACAGTCTTATTCAACTTACTAATGAGACACTCAAAAAAGATGGCGAAAGGTTAAAGCTTTGTTGGAACAATTCTTTGCTACGTAAGTAATTAATTACATCTGGGTTCGTTTTTATCAAATGCTTACCGTGTATGCACTTATCAGCAAGAGTTAACATATTCACTTAATTAATTACCTTATCGGTAAGGTAAACATTTGTGACTATCAAAATGGATTGTTGGAAAGTGTAGGGTCTGTTCTGAGTTTTTGATGCCCTGGGACGGAATCACTAAAAAAAATACCCCTATTTTGTAAAAGACCACTAATTTTGATAACAAATCCACACACATTATGAGACAATCTAAAAACCTTTCTTCAATGGTTTTAATTCTTGAAACTCCATATAGATGCCAACTAACCATTTGAAATAAATTGAAAATCAACTACATTTAACATATAATATAAGAGTAGTTTGGTAATAGTATGCTCGTTAATTTAAGCCAATTCTCAAATTATTTTTAAAATTAGAAACTAATAGAAGCAAGAACCTATTAATTAATTCATTGCATAAACCTATTATATACATAGAGCAAAATAATAAGTTTTCAGTGATCGATTGTCACAAAATAAAATCCCATACAACATATTAATTATTGTATGTGATTATTAATTTTTTATCTCCCTTTTGTATTCGATTTAATGTCAACATATATCTTATCTGAAATAAAATAAAATTAATCGCATCCCACCATTAATATTTTGTTTTTTGTATTGATTATGAATGGATAAAAAACAACTAATTCCACAATTCATACATGTGTAGCATTATTAGGAGTGTTTTATTCAAATTTCTAAAAAACTAATTTTATTTTATAAACATGAAACATTAAAATTATAAATATACACAAGGCTAAGGTTATTTTATAAACCAGTAAAATCTAACAAACCGTATAAACCATGTGGTTTATTGTCTAATTGAATAAAATTGTTTCACGAAAGTGTTTAATATGATAAAATTGTTTTACATAGTTCTTTTCTTTGATGAAATTGTTTAATGTATTTTTGTTTCTATGTGAAAATGAAATCGTTTCATCTATTTCTCATGTTGATGAAATTCATGTCATATATTCTTGATTAATCAACCCTCATATATTCTTGATGAAATTGTTTTATGTATTATTGACTAATCAACCCTCATAATTTGAAAAAAATGAAAAATAAAATAAAAAAATGATTTGAATGAATGAAGTTTGTACAGTTTAGATTTAGATGGTATGTAAAATAAACTATCCCATATATATATATACCCAAGGCACGGGGTGTGGCACGAAGAGGTTAGCCAAATGCGTGACGCCCAGCACGCAAGCCCCCACGTCGTGCCTCGATCACGAGAACGTCGCTCGTTCCCTGCACGCCGTGCCCGTTCCCCGCACACGGCGCGCCCGTTCCCCATGCCGCGACGCGTCCGTTCCCCATGCCGCGGCGCGCCCGTTCCCCATGCCGTGCGCCCGTTCCCCCATGCGTTCCCCCACGCCGCGCGCCCGTTCCCCCACGCCGCGCGCCCGTTCCTCGCACGTCGTGCCCACTCTTGCCCGTGCATCGGCTAAACGGTGTGCCTATTTCAAAAATTATGACTCCTCAAAAAATCAATGTTTGTTCCTGTCACTTTGCTTTTTGTCCATAAGGTATATATAGAGGGGACCATGGGGTCTGGCTCCCCCCCATGTATATATATATATATATATATATATATAGAGAGAGAGAGAGAGAGAGAGAGAGAGAGGAGAGAGATAAAGAGGAGGAAAGACGAATGATCGTGTGAGAAACAAAGTTAAGGTGAGAAGTATAGGATCTTTGATCACATTTAATCTCAAACTCACTCATGAATTGTGTTTGATATAAGGATTGATCTAATACATCTCATCCTAATATGCATCCGATGGTGGAGATTCTTTCTTACGCTTCTCACCTTAGCTCTCCTTCTTACCGGAACCCAACCCGAGGAGAGAAATCTATTAATTGTTGGATATGATTTAATTATATTTATAATATGTAATTTTATTTCATATTGTCGCCATAAAATGTAGACTTGTTTAGGGAAAATCATAGAAAGGGAACTTCTAAAAGGAATGTGAGAAAACCGAATGAACAACGTGAGAAAACCAAATGATATTATATATAATTATATTGGAGGTCTTGGGTTCAAGCTTCTTCTATGCACATTCCATTTACTATTTATTTGTAGCACCGGTACGTAGAAGTACATAAGCCCAATCGATGCCCCTTGGGCCTATATCTCGACTAGGCTGGGTAAAAGCCTTCTCGCTCACTTATCCTGTAAGATTCTCGATTTTTGTTATGTCTGTTATCCCAGGTAAAAGTACAAGTTCTTGCCATACTCACTGATAAGAAAAGTGACATATAGTAAGCATTTGGTAAACGCCCCTAAGTTAACTCACTAAAAAACATTTTTCTTATGAAATATGCTTGTGATCGTACTGTTCGATTTCAATGTAGCAAAAGGCACAAACCACTCGGAAGGTTTTGTTACATTCTCATTAACAGACGGCCCCGAGTATCATGTTTCACAGGTTCGATCTCCCTCATTGTTCTTTGGAGTATTTTCATTTTATATTGACTATATATTTAACAAACTAGTTGATAAATTAATGGTTAACTGAAAAACTAGCTTTTGGTTAATAAACTAGTAATAAAATAATTATGTTTAGTGATAAGTTATATGACAATGTCAAATTACGAAAAAAAAAATTATAAAGTAAATAAAAAAAACCCATAAGCTATTTGAAATAACTTCTCAAAAATTTAGCTTATTGTTTATTAAACCCGACTTTTCCAATAAGCTCAAAACTGGCATGGTGCTATAACTCACATTGAATGGTTCACACAGGTTGCTAATGCTGTGCTAGTTGCTAAACATCTTGGAGCAACTCTTGTGCTCCCAGATATCATTGGGAGCAATGGTGAAAAAAGGTTGGTTCATGAATCATGATATTGAATTAGGCCGAACCATGCCAAACCAATCGGTCAATCGATTTTGTAGGGTCTGGTTTTATGGTTGACGATTGGACTGACACTTCATCTACAATCTTACAGGGGTTTCGATGAAATTTACGATGTTGAGAAATTCATAACAAGCATGAGCGGTGTAGTTCATGTAGAAACTCGTAAACATCCTGAACTGAAACTCGTTAGTGTAAGAGTTCCTTACAACGCAAACCGGAACTACATCCTGACAAATATCCAACCTCTATTTTATACCACACAATACTTGCGGGTTATAACCTATTTTCCATCGTCAACCACGAGCCAAGGGAAAGTCGACAAGGATATGAACCCGCACTCGTGTTGGGCGACGTTTGAGGCTCTCCATTTGAATCCCGAATTGCAAGAAGTTCTGGACTCGATCGTTGGGAAGATAAAGGGGCACGGATTGAATGGTCAATTCATCGCCATTGACTATAAGGGTGAGATCGTGGGGACAAGTGCTTGTCGAAATGACGGAATGAACAGGATAAAAAGCTGCTATAACCCGATGGAAATCGCACAATTTCTACGGAGGGTCGGTTATCAAAAAGATACGACGATCTACGTGACTGATCAATCGAGATCAGATAATGGCCTTAACGTGCTAAAAGATTTTTATCCGAACACATTCACAAAGGTACGAGCTTCCCTTTACCTCTACCTATATTGTTTTGATTTGACGGGTTGATCTATGCCCAAGAGTTAAGGGTGAGCTGACCCCATAAATTGTCAAATTTTGATTTTAGTATTATAACTTAAATTTCTATAAATGTATATTTTATTTGTTCCAAAGTCTAAATTATAACGCATTTACTAAAACTTGTGATTTCAATTTAAATGTTTGTACTTTTGAAACAGGACGACATAATGCAAGAAACCGAGAAGGGTAAGTCAGAATTGGAACTCAAGCTCATCGACTTCAAATTATGTTCGATTAGTGACGTCTTTGTGCCTGCAAAATCCGGTCTTTTTTACGCAAATGTTGTTGCAAACAGAATCGCAAGTAGGAAGACGGAAGTTTTTGTGCCAGCTCAAGTTACATCAACCTTAGCACGAGATCACATATCATCATACATATCAAAGAGGAGTCACCCAGCATACGCTTGTTTTTGTCCATAAACAAAAGCAAGCAAAATCGTATCGAAATCTAAAATAAAATATATGTAAAAACGCCTCTATTTGGTTTAAAGTGAAAATAAAGCGACTCTAAGTTAAGTCATATATTTTAACAAGACTACAAAAATAACCTTAACAAATTAACAACTGAATTGAAAATTAGAATTCTCCCAGTTGTATATCTAAATAATCCCTCTTAAAGTGGTCTATCGGATAATGCAATGCAACTTGCAAAAGCCAAATGGAGCATCGGCAGCAGCACAAGATTTATAATACAATCAGAAAAACAAACACAGAACACTAAAAAAATTCCGAATATGTACAAAATCCAATTTACAAACATAAGATTGGGGTTTATAAGGCAGTCAGTCAGTCAAATCATATACCAACTTGCTTTTACATGATTCAGCAGCTCAAGAGCCTATTGACGGTTGTATCGTTAGTATAAAACCACGACTGTCTCCATGTACATCTTGCTGTCTGCAAAACCAACCACACCCTTACAAAACCTCCTCATTTCCTCTCAATGAACCTGAACAAGCATCATCAGTTATATCCGGGTTTACAAACATAAGTTGCAACTAAAACCGTCTCTAGCCAAATGCTACTACAGTTTCAACGACTTTTGTGTGTGTGTGTAAGAGAGAGAGAGAGAGAGAGAGAGAGAGAGCAAGAAAAGGAGATGTACCTCCCATATTTCTCCTATGAGATGGTATGCATGACGAGATAATACTAGAAAAGTATTCACTGAAGGGCCTCCTGGAAACAGGTATCAATTTCCCAACAACTGCAAGAGGCCAACTGGTCATAGTAACCAATAACGGTAAGTTCGGCCAAATAAACGTATAATATATCGAATGCATAATCATAAATTCACATAAATCAACCAACCTGATTATGCCAATTCCGACAGAGACAAGCCACAACTGCCAACTCAGCCTAACGGTGGTCGTGAACTTTCCCAAGAACATGATTATGATGACCTGAATGCAAGATAAGTGATTACAACAAGATGCAAAGAGAGCATTTGTTGATTATTTAGGGAGAGAGAGAGATCTCACTTGAAGTAGAATAGTAAAACCAATAATTCCCATAAATAAGCGGTTTTTGGTAACTCCTTTGAAAACATTCATCTCGTCAGGCTTCCGAGCATTAAACTCATTGAATATCTGCATGCATTTAAATTGGTCAGCAACTTCCAGAATCAACAAGATGAACAGTTATAATCATCACCTGAGAAAAGACAAAAGCATTGAAAATAAGTGTGTTCTTCGTTTTCTTAGCATGCTCGTTGCTCTCATGCTCTAAATTCAGTATCTTTATGCCTTCAAAATTGAGTACATTGAGAACCATCACTTGGTATAGAGCCTGTAGTTTCACACAGAGGTATGGTATGGGGATTAGTAACTAAATATATATATATATAATATATATATATATATATTTTTTCACGGATATACCTGTATTAACAAGTTCCTCCACATAATGTTTGTTATTAGAGGTTCCCTGAAACAAAAACAAAAAGACTGATTTTAATCAACAAACATCATAAAAAAAAAAGGATATTGATGATTACAAACAAACTCTTACCTTCGACCAACTGGAGTTCGGTCCATGAGGTGATCTGTTGGAGGTTCAGTGGCCAAAGCAAGTGCGCCGAGAGTGTCCATGATAAGATTAACCCAAAGGAGCTGCAAAGAACACAAAAAGTAGAGCATCATTTGCATCCAATCTTTAATATTCTTAAGAAGAGTGGTAGAGAGAGAAACCTGCACTGCATTTAGTGGGACATCGCCTGAAGAAATCGCTGCGACAACGTTAATTACAAGGGCAGCAACATTTACAGTTAGCTGAAACTGAATGAATTTCTGGATATTGGCATAAACAGATCTTCCCCATCGAACAACCTGATCAACAAAATACAGTTTGGTTGATATTTTGAGTCTCAGTTTCAACCAGTCAATATAAGTGTGATTAAAAACAGCAAGAGCAACACAAACATAGCCCGGTCTATAACAAGAACATTAAAAGACAAAGGAAATATACCTTGACAACTGAAGCAAAGTTGTCATCTAATATAATAATATCACTGCTCTCTTTTGCAACTTCAGTTCCTTGGATACCCATTGCAAGACCAATATCAGCCTACACTCCCAAGAAATCACAAAATTATAATTTCATAACGAACTAAATGAAACACATGAATGACTTCTGTGTGAATTTAAGCATGCAAATGGTAACTCAATTTCTGCAAACTCTCTAACCTCATGTAATGCAGGGGCATCATTAGTTCCATCTCCAGTAACAGCAACAACATGCCCTTTCTTCCTCAGTGCTTGTACAAGTAATAGTTTATCATTAGGAGAAGACCGCCCCATCACCTGTTTCGCAAATTAAATGAGGCGTTCCTTTTTTTCATTTTACAAAGGGAAAAGCTGATTTATTTAGTACAATGGAACAAAAATCATATATATATATATACCGATATCTTCTCGGCAACTTCTAGCCTTTGTTCTTCTGACAATGCCCGGAATGCTTTCCCTTCAATTAGGTTTGGTTCTTTAGCGTCTGCATTTGACTCTAGTATTCCACATTCTAGTGCTATTGCTCTTGCTGTTTGAAGATTGTCACCCGTCACCATTCTTACCTGAAAAAGCCATTGGTTGCATCAACTCACAACAGTACCAGAGATTTCTTGGAAAATTAAAATTTTAATATTAAGCATCTAGAATAGAAGACATGCACATGATGACAGTCTATTACAACCAAAAAAAATGATCAGCAAACACATGCAAACATTCAATTTCACATTATCATTAGTCAAAATTCTGAGACGCAAGGACTTGTACTACCTTCACACCAGCCTTAATGCACAGTTGAACTGCATCTCTGACATTTGACCGACAAGGATCCTACAAAGAAAACCATATATTGAAACAAATTACACATGGCACTTGGTCAGAAAGGCAGATAACAGTCAAAAAATAACCATAAACCACACACGGGCAAAAGTGGCCATGAAGCAAAAAAATTTGCCCAATAATTTAACTTATGTAGTAGATATTCACCATCAGATACACATCTATTGGCAAAAAAACAAAAAAAGATCTACAACTAGATTTTGCATATATAGGAAAAAATCAACGAACCTGAAACATTAGAGACCAGATATACCTATACAATCCACCTTTTACCTCACATTTTTCCTAATTTTGTCCCTTGCCTTCATTTTGAAATTCAACAAAATCTAATGAAGTACTTAGAAGCTACTCCAGGACCCTCCAAGCAACATTATTACAAAAATGAACTAGGTCTGAACGTGCCTTCTCAAATGTGAATGTGATCATGCTTCAGTAGCAATATGCTATAAACTTATAGAACAAATTCATTTAGTGTTTTAAAATTCTCTTATTAGCTTTCACCTTTTCTCTGCTCCCAGAGGAGCTGATGAGGCCCCTCTTCAAATAAGATGCGCCTATTGGTCCAACCAAGAAAGACAAGGGATTTTGTTTTATTTTATTCTCGCTTTATGTTACTTTGAATCCTTAATATAAGAGGATCCGTTGTAGATTTAAAATAATATAGGGATTGTATGTATGGTTAATCAGATGAAAATTCTCACATTCATTCTGACAAACCCACAAAATAGCAAAAGATTATCACAACAATCACCTCAAGATATAGTGAAGAAAATTATGAAATCGTAATAATTGAGTGATGAAATGTATTAAGGCCCTGCAAGTACCTTCAAACCAACTATTGCTAGCAAAACAAGATCATCCTCAGGCATTTGCCAAATGCCTAGTTCCTCTTCATCATTTGGAACAGTTTCCCCTTTGCATGCTCGGTAGGCAATAGCAACACAACGCAAACTTCCAGCAGCCATAGATTCAATCGCTTTTTTATAATATCGCACCTGCAGAGAAGGCAAGTTGAGGAAACCAACCAGACATTTTAAACAACAGCTTGAAATAAACCATATGAACCTTTATCTATAAATCAGAATAAACAAACAAAAACGGTAGAGACGAGATGAGAGAATGCATGCTTTCTGATAAAGACAAATGGATCACCACAAGAACCATCAATAAAAATTGCAAAGAACAACAAATGATTACTTAACAAGATATAAGTATCATGATCATCCATCAGTAAGAGACTAGTTTCTTGAACCTTATCTCCATCCAAAGCCACCAAGCTCTCATTGTCATCCAGATAGCTTGTACATGCATCTAACAAAATTTCTGCGGCTCCTTTCCAGTGTATATGAACTTCAGAATTAGGCTGGAAAAAAAACAATAACAAAGACGGTAAATATTTTGAGAAAATAGCTTATACCACAAGCAGAGAACATACGAATCTGTGCTTTATCTTTCATAGGGAAATAAGCGTTGGAATATGTACATGACGATTAAACACTAGCACAATGTCCAGGCTTGCTTTGCTGCCGAAGCAGGATATGGTGATATAAATCTTGGCCAAAATTTGTCAAAATAGGCTTTTTTAAACTCTTGTAAATTTAGTTCATTCTAAGCATAAGAGTAGCTTTGTTCAGATTTTATCAATGAGGGAACAAAGAACGAAAAACATGTAGTTTGTGGGTAATCCATCATCAAATCAACAACCTGTCAGTAAGAAAAAACCTATAGAGCACCATGGAAGACATTTTGAACATAGATACCCTTGCCCACATAAATAAAAAAGGGATTTTTATCAGATAGATAATTTCTTCCTGCAAACTAGGAGGGACTAAAAAACATTTTGCTGTCCAGAAAGATAGATATCTTGATCAGTATCCTTCCAAATTATTTATATGATTTATTTATTGTCGGCTGCCAATAACAGAACCTTTGCTGTACAAGTGTATATGCATCTACGGTAAAACCAGCGTGTCCAGGGATTGCGGCAGAGATGAATACAAAAGAAGATTACTCCATTGATGGTCCACCAAGGAATTGCTGTTGAGCATAATGAAGTGATGGTATTTATTAACTACCATATCAGTTCGCCAAAGAATTTCTATGTCCATTGACAGTTCGCCAAGGAATTTCTATCCCCATTGACAGTAGGAAAGGCATTAAAGAAGTGCAGAGGTCTTGCGAGGTGGTCGTCGACCAAGGATTTCCATGTCCATGTTTTGTTCTTCTAGGCAAATCTGTTAATGGGGCCACCTTCGCCCAGTAGTCCTTGATGAGCCAGTTATGATAGTTCACTTAACCAAGGAAGGACTGTAAGTCAAACACCTTGATTGGTGCCACCCCACTCTTGGATTGCCTTCACTTTCTCCTCATTAGTCACGAGTCTTTTGTCCTTGATTGTGCTAAAAATCCACCTCTTGGGCTAACAAATATTTCTTCAGCGTTTTACATATAGTTTGTTGTCGCGTAGTACATGGAAAGCTTGTCGTAAATGTTCAACATATTCCTCCATTAGAGTCGTTTCGAGCTATATGGCTTGTCCACGAAAGGAACATTGGGCTGCTGTGGAACATATTTTTCGATATCTTAAAGGTTCAGCTGATGTGGGTCTCATTTATGGAGGAAAAGGAGACAGTTTTGTTGCTAGGTATTCAGACTCAGATTATGCAGCCGACCTTGACACTCGAAGATCATTAACGTGTTATGTGTTACTGTTGGACATGCCTCAGTAAATTGGAAAGCAAAGTTACAGCCATCAGTTGCTTTATCCTCCACAAAGGCGGAATATATGGCACTTACAGAGGCTGCCAAGGAAGGGATTTGGCTGAAGGGTCTGCTTGGAGATCTTGGGTTTCATCAAGATTAAGCTGTGATTTTTTGTGACAGTTTTAAGTGCTATTTGTCTTGCGAAAGATCAGGTGCATCATGAAAGAACGAAGCACATAGACGTTAGTTATCATTTCATACGATAAAAAAGAAGAGTTAAAAGTGAAGAAAGTGAGACCGATGACAACCCAGCTGATGCACTTACTAAACCTGTTTCTTTGAACAAGTTAAGACATTGTTTAGATCTCCTAAACATTGATAGCTGGAAGTAGAATTTTTCTGTTTAATACTTTAATAGAATTAAAGTCAAGGTGGAGATTTGTCGGGTGTGACTTTAATTCTGGTAGACAGCTGGTTGCTAGTTCTGTTAGTCTGTTATTTCTTTCCTGTTTAGCCTATAAATAAGTGGCGCTAATCATTTGTAATCTCTGTTCATTTTCATCTAATTCAATTTTCTGCCTCACGCATCTAAATTCTCTAAAAGATTTCTAGTAATTTCCTAATTAGATCAAATCCGGACATTCCAAAAAGGTTAAATGCTGAATGTGGTCCGGAGTTTGAGATGCAATATCTCAGGAAGCATAAGTGGAGGATCAAGACATACTTCCCATAGCTGAAGCTTTATTAACCTACGCTGATCAGAATGCACCATGTGTGATAGGTTATAAGCAAGAAAATGCTCTAATGGTCCAGCCAGAACGGGAAGGACCTATCCAAGAAGCAGCCCATGAATCAGAGAGCGAAGTGAGGGTCCTTTAGGTCTAAGAGAGCAAGATCTCAGGTACCTGGGATCCTAATCGGGATGCGCTGAGGGAAAATGTAAATGAGAGTGGCATGGAGTTTGTGGGTGCTCCTGATCATGATTTCTACTGATGAGTCAACTGCCAGTGACTGCTATTCATAATGTTGATGGTAATGCTTCTGCTGACGTTAACTCATCTAATGATGATGATGATGATGATGAGAATGGTGCTGATAGCTATATAATTGTTTCTGCATCACGAGTTCAAAATGTAATCACTCGGTTTACTAATGCAGAAGGAGAGAGGAGGACCGAGGGAGCTCAAGTTGAAAATGTTGAGAGTGTGTAGGTGCAAGAAGAGAAAAAGAATATGGTGAGCGTGTCACAAGGACAAAAGAACAGTTCTCTATCCACACCGTATATACTAGACGGGAAGCCACATCTGCTACTATATCTCATCCGTTGAGATATGGTATTGAACAAGACATTGTGGACCCAACAACGCATTTGCACACCCACCTATCCACTCACACATCTCTCAACAGATGTTTGCTTCATTTTCTCACGGTGATATAGCAAAAAATCTATCTAGCTCTCACTTGGAGGGTTTAGATATTGAACAAGGTAGACACCCACTCATGTCACCGACTTCTTTCTTTACACAATTGAGTCTAGAGCCAAATACAGTTATAGGTAGACTTTCTACTGACGATTTTGTAGCTCAAACCGCTAGTCTTTGTGACTTAGCCGAAATACCCAGAGTGGAGTCGCCTATAGGTTTTCTACAAGGATAGGTTAGAAGGCTTACGACAGCTAACGATATTCCAGCTCTGAACGTAGGCCACACAGTTGATTCAACTGTTGTGACAACTTGTAACCTAAGTGGTTCAGGTGTTAGCTTACCAGAATTTGTTTTCAGCAATACCTGAACGGCGCCCTAAAGGCTGTTCAAGATACTTTCATGGACAAGCTTTCTTCTATCAAACGAATGCTGAAAGGTAAAGACCCGGTTACTACTGACCCATCACCACAACCACAACCTTCTAATGATCTGTCAATTCATGAGTTGAAGTCTTTGTTGTATGAAAAATTACTTTCTCAACCTACCCTGAATTTGGAAGATGCGGATTTACTTGGGTTGTTACGACGGTCAATAGAACTTGAGCAAAATGTGGTTACAACAGATCATTTTAACCAGTTCAAGTCAGAGGTCTTATCCAGTATTAACTCTTTGTCTACAGTTGTTAGATCATCTTCTCCAACTACTATTGAGAATACTCTACAAAGATTGTCTAAAAGAGGTCAATCGTTGGAAGAAACTTGCAAGACACAAGCCTCAATTCTTAAACAGAAGCATGATGACCACGATTGTCCTGATCATCATGAGGGGGAGAAGCTTCATAGGTTAAAGGATCACATTATAGTTTGTATTATTCGAGGGATTGTAATTGAAGAAACTAGTGATGTTCAGGTTTCTGGTGGAATGTGCCTGAAGGAGAAAGAAGAATGGTACAAGCCATTTTGGTGAATGAAACTGATCCAACGGTTGAAAATCCTGAGGATGCAGCAGTTAGAGAGCAAGAGCTAAAAGCTATAAATGATATTTCACCAATATCATCTACATCGATCCTGATCCAGATGAGCCTGATGGTGATAAGACTGAAGAAGCAATGCTGAGAATTAAGGATGAAATATATACTTGATTTCATTCTTGATGAAGATTTTGTAGAGTTCGATGAATTTGAAGTTGATGATGTGGTCAACATGCCTGAACCATCAAGAACGAAGCAAGTAGTACAACCGGTTAATCCACCTGTTGTTGATCAATCAGAACCTGCCCCGGTATCAAAACCTATTGCTTTTCTAGAAGATGAAGAGAAGCAAACTTAATGAAGATCATAGAGTACATATACATGCTTAAAGCCCAATAACAGATGAGGAAGTATGTGAACACCAAGAAAAAGAGAGTTTCTATAAAGAAAATTTCAACCAAGAAGTTCTACACTTTATACTATCGAACATTCAAGGTGTTAAGACAAGACGGGAAAGAGTGGATGTTTACCAAGGCATACTTCACTCATCTTGTTCTAGAAGACTTAGAGTTTCTATATCATGAGAAGAGGCAAAGAACTATCAGACCTCAGAATGTAACTCTAGCTCTGAATGCGGAGAGGTTTATGAAAAGACAGGCCAAGTACTTCTTGATTACACATTTTCAGATGGGTGTTAAAAGCAATCAAAAGAGAGTTAATCTACTTCAACCTAATCAAAGTCTGCCAGAGATTGAAGATTTTCCAACCAATATGATCCTTAAAGATCCTGAATTCGGAATTGTATATCAGGATGCCAAGCTGAAGAAATGTTTCTTGACATTCAAAGAAGCTGAAAAATATTCAGATGGCACCTTGAAGCTGATCAGACAGAAATTAAACTTGAAGTTTAATGATGATGACAAATCCAAGGAGAAGATTGAAAAAGGAGATTGAGAGCTAATTGTCAGAGCACCGAATGTTATTCAAGACAGGTTGAGTTTCAGAAATGATCTAAGGAGAATTAAAATTCATCTTGGTCTTCGGAAGAAGTTAAAATGGAATGCTTGAATTCAAAAAGGAGAGAATGTATGACTTAGATTTCTTATTCAAGTCTAGGGGCTTAAAGTGTAAATACCCTGAAGGTATAAATAGTTTAGTTTACTTGTTTTGTTCAAGTCTTTTGATCATATTTGCATAATTGTATCTTCATTTCTCTCTCGGTAATATCAATACATTTGATGGCCAAATTGTGTTCTTTTTACTGAATCTTTGTTGTTATACTTGGATTTGGGATTAACAAAGGCCATATTATTAAACTAGAAAAGGAAACGACGAAGTACACAAAACAACAAAGCAAGAAGGCTAATTCTGCAAGGAGCAGAACACCGAACAAGACAAAGTAGCACAAGATAGACGTAGGAAACACAAAACTACCCGAAACAAGGGAAAACCAACCCAAAACCCAGAAAAAAAAAACAACCTTTATCTATGCCAATAGGAGCCGCTCAGCCACTCCAACCATGAACGCTTCCTGCTCTTAGCCCTATTGGAGATCCAAAAAAAGGAGGTCGGATTCGAAGATCATCTCCCTTGTATCAATCCTAGCGTCCCTTTCAAAAACCAAAGACGAAAAGACTGTTTCCTTTGCCAAAACTAAAGCAGACCCACTACCGCTGTTGCCAGCACCCAAAATCATATCTTCAGCCTATCTTCTTGATTGGAGATTTTCACCACAACAAGCTAAGATTGTAATCCACAACTGAGCAATAATCGGGCAGTCAATAAAACAATGATTTAGAGATTCTACATCACTGCTACATTTCGGGCAAAGCCTAGAGTCTAAATCGAAGCCCCTGTGAGCGACCAAAGGTATTGACTTTCTTTGGCAATAAATGAAGATGACTTTCTTTGGTACTACTGGAATCCCTCCTTACTCTCCAAATGAAGTTGTTGACTTTCTTTGGCACAAAAGAACACCAAAGGTATTTACGGCCCCATTGTGAGCAACCAGCAATCTATCAATTCCCTCGACTTTCTCACAGTAAAGACCCCGTTAGAATCTAAATCCCAAACCCACTTATCCTACCCACTGGTATGAGTCGAGATAGGCTGCCAATAGCCGCAAAAAATCCTCCAACTCTCGACTGGCTTCATTGTGTTAAAAAAAGCTAGAGGCGTGCACCTCAAGGCACGGCGTCTAAATTTCGTGTATGAGGCATCGCTTCCTTCTCCTAAGATGACGCGTGCGCCTTAAATATGTGAGGTTGTGATTAAGCGGTGAGACGGTGCGGTGATGAGATGGTGCGGCGGTTCACAGGCGTACAGTTTTACTAATCGAAGTGACATAAGTTTTTTATTTATTCATTGAAATAGATAGTGGGTTGCACTTGAATCAAAAAATGTTGATGCATTATATATAATAATATTTATCGTTCTCCCACTTAGTGTTGGAACCCAAAAGTCATATATATATATATATATATATCTGGGTCGATTATACTTTATATATTAATATACATATATATATATATACTAGGTTCGATCCCGTGTATTACACGGGATAATTTGAAAAAATTAAATCATGTCAGGAACTTATCTTACAAATATGAATGATCATCGAAAGTACGATGCAACTTTAGACTTGTACTCTTGAAATAACTCTGAAATATAACTCTGAAGTATAACTCTGAAAAATGACTCTTCAAACTTGAATTTAGAAATGAAACTATATCAATAATTAGTTAAAATGAAGTTAACCCTAGAATTAAATTAAATTTAGAAATAAAACTACATCAGTAAATTGATATTAAACTTAGAAGTAATTTAGAACGACTCTTCAGACTTATACTCTTGAAATAACTCTGAAGAATGACTTCAGACTTGTACTCTTGAAATAACTCTGAAGTAAAACTCTTTAGACTTCAGACTCTGTATAGGCAAGCCAGAAGCTCTGCATGCACTATGCAAAGGCTTTGAATGCACTATGCAAAGGCTTTGAATGCACTATGCAAAGGCTCTGCATGGTGCTCTACATGGTGCTCCGTCTGGAAAAGAAGACTTCAGAATTCGGGTGAGCTAACTCTGAAGAATGACTCTTCATACTTGTAAAATGGAAATAACTCTGAAGTAAATGCATTGAGATCCATTTTCGACTTGCCATAGTTATTGGTTGCTCCGGGATAAGCCTCCTATCGTCCATAGTTCTCAATCATTTCCACACTACTTGTGTCAAAGTTTTTGCCATCCTCCCCAACCTGGCTCTAATACCAAATGTCACGGAGTTGCTTCAACAAGCTCATGTGCAGCGCTTACTACTAACTCAAATATACTACAACAGACTTCACAAAGCTTTGAGAGAGAGAGAGAGAGAGAGAGGTTGAAAAAAATGTTGGTATTACTTGTACTTGTATGAAAGCTTAAAAAAATGTTTCGAGTTCTCGAGTGTGTCATGGCAAATGAATGCCACAACTTTATATAGGCCTCTACTTTTAAATGAATGGCCACTATTTACTTGCATCAACAGTAAAGATTACATCTCTAATCTTATAAAGTATATAATATGTACAAACGAAAATATTGCATACTAAAAGGCTAGAACTATGAGGAGGCTACTAGAAGCCACCACCATATTCCTTAAAGATGCTCGAGTCTGTGAAGAAATTTGGGAATCTTCTTAGTGGGACATCATACTATGTTTAACAAATGTACTATAAGGAGAAAAAAACCGACTTTGTAACTTAAAAAATAGTGATAAAGCATGACTTGCATCATAGGTAACTTACTACTCGAAGTAAACACGACATAGTTTCAAAAAACAAAGAGTAGAATTACCACTTTCACAGCGACACCACCTCGCTTTTTCTCTGAATTGAATGGGAATGCATGAACTACTGAAGACTCTGCCCTGACAACATCAAAATCCATTCCAAGCTGCATATCGCATAGGAATGGCAAGCATCACAAGATGTGCAAGACATGTAACAAAAACAAAATCAAGAGTTATAGATGGGCACTAACATTAACCCCCCACTGAAGAATAGCTTTCTCTGTTGGCGATCCAGAAACCTCAATATTTCCACCACCCTATCGAAAGTCATAAATAATTGCATGTTAGAAATTTTCAATTTTCAATATAGGCGAATATCACTATGATGTATCATGAGATACAAAAGTGTACTATATTTGTTTCATGCATATTACAGTACTTGATCCATCTAGTTACTCAACCCAATTTGTAGAGCACCAGCTACCATATCTAGGACATTGAATATTTGAGCAATTACATTACTGGACATAGGCATTTAGCAAGTCAATAAGAAAACAAAACAATGTGAACACAATCATTTATATGCAACAAACAACCATGTAACAATAAAAACATGATATAATTTGATAAAGGACAAACAGTTTTCAAGATATAAATCCTCATAATCTACCTCGGGGGTAAATACGCTGCCAGTTGTATTTTGAGCTATTCCTTCAATGAGAAGAGAGACAACTTTGGATGGTAATTCTGACTTATTATTTTGTGTGTCAATTTTCTTCCCGCAAATATAAGCTTCAACCACGGTCATCTGAAGAAAATAGCAAAGACATGAGACAAACTGCACACATACACACGATTAAAACCCACAATCTTTTTGTAGATCTCAAAACAAGACCATGTGTAACAAACGGAAGAAGTGAACTTCCCTTACAGCCAGTTAGTTTTACATCCCCCAAAACAAAACTTTTTTTCTCCATTTATATTATGGAGTGCATACTTCTTCTAAAAGGTGCTATGGAGTATCAAATGTATCTTTTTTAGAAAATTCCAATACAATAAATTATTTATATTACTTTTATCTACGCAAACAAATTTTATAAATGATTTCGGACAAGCAAGTCCGAATAACTCGAGGTTATCATCATTGTTCTCTTGGTTAGGACATACTCGTAACGCCCCAATTCCTACTTTGGGTGTCGTTACATTTTTATTGATACTACTAAGTCTTGTATATGAACTTGAAATTTAACTTTATTTATAATACTTAGCTTTATGATTACAAAAGAGTTCAAATACTAGCGAAAAACGTAACTCAATAGCTTGCTATTGATTAGAACAATACTTCTTCATGATATCCTTCTTTACTCATTCCCTGAGATACATACATAAGATACTTAAGATAAAAGCTTAGTGAAGAGTTATGGTTTCATGAATGTACAATTTTCGTGATGCTTGACAATTGTGAATAGTATTTCACTAAAACACTTGATGATGCACAAAATAATCTTTTTGTCATGCATAAACATTCTTTTGAGAACTCACTTGAAACATGCAAGTATGTCATACTTGTCTTGACATTTGCTAACCCCCCGTGTCCATAGAGGCTGCCCCATAAGGTTCGTTTGCAATACAACCCATCTTGTAATATCTCATACATTGGATATTTATGGTCATACATAACATGTAGAAACTTTTGTGCCTTGTGTAACACATACTTGTATCATAACATATAAACAATTTCATGTCTTGCGTGTAAAACAGATACTTGTATCAAAAACATGTCATCATGCATATCTTGAATATATTTAAGTGTATAACATTTTCAGGTAAAGCAAACATGCCAAAATATCTTGTAATGCATACTTTTATATAGCATATTAGACAATTAAGTGTGATATATATATATATATATAATTATATTAGAGGGTCTAGAGTGTAAATGTATCTCTTATATATATCCCTGATTGTAATCAGTATATACACACACAATTACCAAGTTTATCTTGGTATCAGAGCCGGCCCTAAACGCCCTACGGCTGCTGCCCTACCGCAGCCGGCCCTAAACGCCCAACAGTTGCTGCCCAGCCGGCCCTAAACGCCCTACAGCTGCTGCCCAACCGCAGCCGGCCCTAAACACCCTACAGCTGCTGCCCTACCGCTGCCGTCTCCCTACCGCTGCCATCACAAGGCAACCCTAAAGCTACCGCACCCGTCTTCTACCCTACGGCTGCCTCACCTTCTGTCCAATGACAACTGTTGCAGCTTTCACTCCAACCGAGAAAACCACCCATAACTCCCACAAGTTTGGCTTCACTTTATCACCAAACAACTATGGCTATTGGAAGACAATGGTTCAACCGTTCCTTGTCACAAACAACTTGTTCGGCTATGTTGATGGCACCATTCCTTGTCCACCGATGACTATCTCATCATCATCATCATCATCATCATCTGGAAAAGATGCCGACAGCACCACAGTGCCCCCACCACAACCGAATCCTAACTACACAGCATGGGTTTCCAATGATGCTCATGTACGGATGTTGATTATTTCTAAAATCTTTGAGGCGTCGTTCCAACACATTCAAGGACTTACCTCCCGTGATCTTTGGCTGTCTCTTGAACGTGCTTACGCTCCTCACACATCATCTAGGAAATACACCCTAAAAACTCAGCTTCTTAAACTAGAGATGAAGCCTGCTGAAACCTCCTCCGCATACCTGACCAGGGCTCAAGAATATGTTGATGCTCTCGCCAATATAGGCGAACCAATGAAAGAAAAAGATTTGGTGATGTTGGTTATCTCGGGTCTTAGAGAAGAATACAACGGGCTGAAGTCAACACTCCTTGGTCGCCAATTCCCAACTGCCTTTGCAGTACTTCATGGCCTGCTATCAGACCATGACTACATGATCAAGAAATCTGCAACTGGCATCTCTCCGCCTTAAGCATTCTCGACTGTCACGAACAACCGCAACTCAGCGGTTCCTGGTGCCACCTCGTCTACTCCTCAACCGGATCAACTTCAAGCTATTCAACAGCTTCTGTCACAACTTGGTCTTCAAGTTCAGCCTGTTAATGCACAGCCTGCATAGCCTGCACATGCCTTTTACACCAACAGATCTGGGAATAACCGTGGCCGTGGACGTGATTCTAGACGCGGACGAGAAAACTACAACAACAGAAGTCAAGGAGGAGGTAACCGTAATCAATTTAGTTGGGCTTCTAATCAAAACACTGTTTTTGGCACATGCAACAGGTGTGGGATTGGTCATATCCCGTCTCATTGCCCCAATCGAGACCCTGCTCCTATGAGGACGAGACAACCACCTTCTGCCATCTTTACAAATTACCGGTCACAAGCTTGGCTTCCGGATACARGCTCTAGCCATCATGTTGCACCGGACCTATCTAGCTTCGATAACTCTGAGGCCTACTACGGTGAGGACAACCTTCACGTTGGCAATGGTAAGAGTTTACCCATTCTACACATTGGTTCCTCACAACTTCATTCACCAAACAAAACATTTTCCCTTAAAGACATACGACACGTACGTGACATAAAACAGAACTTACTTTATGTTCAAAAATTTTGTTTTGATAACCATGTGTACTTTGAATTTCACTCTACTTTCTTTGCTGTGAAGGACAAGTTCACACACACTATCCTCCTCACTGGTCCAAGTAATGGTGGTCTCTACTCCTTCTGTCTTCCTCGGCCTCAGCCTGTTCAGAAAATGTCGTTTTCTACCACACGTGCGTCTTCCACCACATGGCACCAAAGACTTGGACATCCACATCCACAACTTTTGAAGTCCATGTTATCTAAATATCATTTACCTTTACAAAATAAGTGTGATAGTACTTTTTGTGATTCATGTTCTGTTGGCAAATCGTCTAAACTTCATTTGTTACCATCTACWTATAAAAGTTCGCACATTTTGGATTTGGTTTTCTGTGATGTATGGGGGCCCGCTCCTGTTCCTTCTTTTGATGGTCACAATTATTTTCTGCTRTGTGTTGATCATTACTCCAGATTTATGTGGATCTTTCCATTAAAACTAAAATCTGATGTTTATGCCACTTTTAAACGATTCCTTGCGATGGTTGAAAGGCATTTTCAAACCAAACTGAAATCTGTCCAAACCGACTGGGAAGGCGAGTTTCGGAATCTCTCCCAATTCCTCTCTCCTCTAGGCATCACCCATCGCCTCTCATGTTCCCATACAAGCGAACAAAATGGCTTTGTTGAACGACGACATCGACATGTTGTTGAAACCGGTCTTACTTTACTTGCTCAATCCTATGTTCCAAAACGGTTTTGGCATTTTACTTTTGACACTGCAGTCTATCTTATTAATCGAATGCCATCCAGAACCAACTCAAACACCTCACCATTTGAACATGTGTTCAAACACAAACCCGATTTTTCCTTTCTTTGGGTTTTTGGATGTCAATGCTACCCTCATCTCCGTCCATACAATAAACATAAAATTGACTTCCGCTCTACATCTTGTGTGTTCCTTGGTTACAGCACCGCTCATCATGGCTATCGGTGTTGCGACCCACAGTCTGATCGTCTTTACGTAGCCCATCATGTTCGATTTAATGAACAATCATTTCCTTTCCAAACATCTCCTCCAACCACTCCAAATCCTTACGTCTCCACCTATCCCAAATCTGACCTCCCACCCACCTCTTCATCTTCCACAGGACCTAATGAACATTATGCTCCACCAGAACCGACACCCTCCACCGCACCTACAATGCAAACTGTCCTACAAGAAACAACACCTACCACCACCCCTCCTAATGACCACCCTACGGCCCAACCACCCCTTATCCACACCTATCACCGCCGTTCCATAGTCACCGAACCACCACCGCAGCCTACCCCTACCCCCCTCCTCTACCACCGAACAACCCACCCGTACTCGACCACCCAACCTACGCCCCAATCCCAAACAAACCAAACCTTACAATGCCTCCTCATACCATACCCATCATCCTTCACCTGACACCGAACCGACCACCTTTACTATTGCTAACGGGTACCCTCAGTGGTGTACCGCCATGGCTGACGAGTATTCGGCGCTGATGCGGAATGGTACTTGGACATTAGTACCATGCGTTCCAAATTCCAACGTAATTGATTGCAAGTGGGTATACAAATTAAAAAGAGACCAAACAGGGGCAATAAAACGTTACAAGGCACGACTAGTAGCCAAAGGGTTTCGGCAGCAACCAGGCATTGATTATCAGGAGACGTTCAGTCCCGTGGTCAAATCGACCACCATACGTGTTGTTCTATCTCTGGCCGCAACACAGAAATGGTCTCTAAGGCAACTTGATGTGAAAAATGCCTTCCTACATGGTGATCTCAACGAGACAGTTTATTTGCAACAGCCACCAGGGTTCGTTGACCCGGACAAACCCGATCATGTTTGCCTACTTCACAAATCCTTATATGGATTAAAGCAGTCCCCTAGAGCGTGGTTTCATCAACTTTCTACGGTCCTTCATTCTCTTGGCTTTCAGGGCTCCAAAACGGACCCTTCCTTGTTCATTTACTCCCACAGGGGCACCATTTTGTACATGCTAGTCTATGTTGATGACATTCTTTTGACAGGAAACAACCCGGAGGCTATTGACAAAGTGGTACAACGTCTTAGCCAATCTTTTGCTGTTCAGGATATGGGTCGCTTGTCTTATTTTCTCGGTATTGAAGTGACCAGTCAGGGTCATGAAATGATTCTATCACAACGGAAATACATCCTTGAACTCTTGCAACGCGCAGGCCTGTCTAAT